TACCTACTTTAAATATTTTTCGAAGAACTAATGGCCCTGCACTTGTACCTTTGACCAAATCTCTAATTTGAATTTGAATAGTTCCGATGCAAAAGGTTTTTGCATTCAATTATTGTATTTAAATATTGGGGTACGGATGCTATCACCATCAGCAATAACCTTGTTGTAAATTAGGCCGTACGTCTCCAAACTTTTTATGAATCCATCAGCAATTATGTCGGCTTCCATGCTGGTGGAGGAACCTATCCAATTTTTGTAACATTTGTGTTCTGGAGTTTTCTTCTCATTTTTAGCTGATATGTAGCACGTGGTGCAAATTTTGTTGCGAACACTAATAAAAGGCACTTCTCTTGTTCGAAATCCGACTATAGCAGCTGCACCAGACAACGAATTATAATTATTGCCATACGATCTATTGGCCCAACTGCTATCTACATTTATATAAAAAATGTATATAAGCCCTTGAAATTCTTTTTTTAAAATATCCATGTTTAAAAGAGTCCATCCAAATTTTATCGAGTGGCTTGAAAACTAAGACTATGGGGCATTTCTGCGTACCGTTGCCTGCATTATTCTAAAATATTAAATATTATATATTTTTTTAGATTAATATTTAACAAAGAGCAAAACCAACACGCCTTAACAATAAAAGCATCCTAGTTGTTCAAATGGGGTATATTTTCGATTTCATTAAAAGTATCCTAAAATAAAAAATATTTGACAATATACTGCACATCAAAATAATATAGGGAACAAGAACTAAATTTTTTATAACCTTTTATTATTGTTTTTATTATTTGTTGCAATAAATTTTCGTATTTTGAAATGTTTGCTTTATGCTGGTGATGCAAAACGAATAAATATTGGTAATATAGAACATAGTCACATGAATTTTTAGGTTAAAAGAACACCCCCATTAAAACCTTTTCCGAGTTATAACTAAACAATAAAAATTGACGTTTTTTAATTATTAATGTGCCTATGGAAGTTATGGCAGATTTTGATTAGTACATTAATTAGTTAAACGTCGTTTGAGTTAAATGAGTCAAATGCTGTTGTCTTATTGATTATACTATATAGAGCCATATGTTTCGACTAAATACCATAAATATTTCGAAACAATCATGACCTAATTTAAATTCTTTTGGAGTAATTCATCGACTTCTTCATTGCCTTGGTCGTGATTAAATTTCTGTTTAACGAATTGTCTTTATTGCTTGCTGATTTATTGTTCAGTTTTTATAATGTTGTATGGGCATTACCTCAACTTGGAATATGTTTGCCTATTTTCTGGAGTCGGCGAATTTTAAGTTTGTTTAGGTACCCTCTTTTCTAAAATCATATGTATTTCGTTAAATACCACAAACAACGCAAACCTTAAATATATAATAATTTAAATAATTTTTTTTTTAGATTACTGACAAGAAAAACAGCCACAACGAACCCATTATTAAAAGTGGAGGTCTTGGATCTTACTCAGTTGAAATCGTCGTCAAGCCACAACTTCTTGAAAAATTGAACTACAGAATTCAAGTTTTCACTGAATACCCAACTACAACCACTACTGATTAGTACTCCCAAATAAAAATTTATTAAAAGATGTATTTTTTTATATATTCTGTAGATAATTACCATGATTATTGTTTTTTCTAATAATAGGAATAATAATAATTCATGTTGGAAGTTAACTCAATTTATATGAAGAATTCTTGTCAGCACCCTATATATTGTTTTATATAAGTTTGTTGTCATTTATTTTATGTTTTGAAGTTTGTTATATATTTTTCTAGAAAATAAATTATTTCCCAATATTTGTTAGATTAATAAAAGCTAAATAAGAAACCGACGAGTCAGATTCACTTGTCGGCTACATTCTACATTATTGTTTATTAAATGGCCACGTACAAACCAAGATGGTAAAATTTAAAAGTAAGTTATCCAACTGGCGAATACGCTGTTCTTTAGCTCAAGGGGGGACACCTATACGCAAAGCAACCCGTTCTACAAGGTTTGAAACAAAGTATATGTAAAATCAACATAGTAAGGTAATCAACTGGCGAATTGGCGCTGTTTGTTACTTCCGTTGGTCATCACCTCTATACTCATCGTAATATTTACCTAAGATGGTGCAACCTGTATATATCTAGAATAGAATCAAATTAACATCAACTCAATAGTTAACTAACTGACGAATTGGCGCTGATCGTTAACTTCATTGGTCATTAACTTAGATAAAAACATAAACAACAACACAATAGTTAACCAACTGGCGAATTGGCGCTGTTCGTTAACTACGTTGGTCATCAACCTAAATCAGAACATAAACAACAACACTATAGTTAACTCTGTTGGTCATTAACCTAAATAAAATAAATATTGATAGCAAATGAATATGGTCTGCGTTTGAACGGGACTCAAGTGAGATCTCAGTAAATAGTAACAATTGTAATATAATTTGCTAATTATAGCATCACAATTAAAGTATGAAAAATAAAAAAAGAGTTTAAATATGAGTTTGTATGTTTTATTAATCAATTTGCACCAAACTTTGCATCGAATTCTGGTTTACCTTAATTAACATTATCACAACGAGGGTATACAAATTATCAATAAATTAAATAGACGATCACTTTTACTACTAGAGGAAAAGAGGCCAATTACAGTAAGTATAAAATTTAAACTAAAACTTGTGAGGTAAATAAATAATTTGACAGAGTAAAACACAAGAACAAATCAAAAAGAAAAAGGGGCCTGGGGGTTGGCCGTCACAAACCATTGTAAAAAAAAGTAATTACGAGAAGGAGAAATAAAATTGGTGTTAAACCGACAGCCTTAAGTCGACGAAAAAGTGGCATTACAGGCAAAAGAAGATTACTAGGGAGATATTCACATGGTGAAAAGTTTCATATAAATAAAGCTCCACATTCCTTGAATACATGCGTTTTAAAAGGTTAGTCAATAGGAGATACAAAGCAGAAGCAGTAACTCAAGAAGAAACAAATGAAAAATTCTACTATGACTGTAATATACTACTAATATAGGCATTTGTATTACATTGTATTTTTGTTAAGTTATTACGCAAGACTGGTCATCTCTATGTGACTAATGAGTCAGGCTAAATCATCGGTTACTTAATACCATTTTGATAGCTCACCAAATACCTATATGTACCCGACAAATAAGCCCGATTCGTCGGTCACTTAATATCACATTAATCGGGTCGCCTCGGAAATTTGCGAATGCATATGGTCCTTTTCTCAAAAAGTTATTTCTCTACTGCATATTTCTTCTTCTACACTCAGCATTCTAGCTTCATATAGACATTTTAATTCTATCTAAACTCCATCTGGACTGGCAGCAATATAATCAAATGCAGAATCAGTAAAAAGCCCTCATTTAAAAACTTTTTCTTGCAAATCAATTTCCAAATCTATTTTTTCCCTAGATTTATTGTCCATGCCATATTGGGTGGCTTTAGCAAAAAATAAAAGATTTTATAAGATGTTTTAAAGAAGACATTTGGTTTTTTGCAAATGTCTCCAAATTTTGAAGTAGTGACACCTTTTCGTCTTTCATGGTACCACAATGCACAATCAGCTTGATCTTGTGTCACATTCATTTTTTTCTCTATAGAGATTTGCAAACTTTTTAGAAAATCTACTTTGGCAACGCGTATCAAAGAGTGCGACAGATCAAACCCAGGAGCGAAAGGAAGAAAAATGATTTAGTTAGTTTGAATACATAGACATTACTTTAACAGATTAAAGAGTTGTTATCATGCTGGAATTTATTATTCTTAACTCAGATGTATTTATCAAAAAAAAAAACTCCCATGCAATATAAAAGTTAATTTATAATTCATATCTAACTGTATATCTTTTAATTTCAAATATATTTTTTTTAAATAATTTATAAAATTAATTTAAAATAACAGCGAAATTACTGTATGTAAAGATTTTATTTCAAAACAAACCGATTTAAATTTTCAAAAAGTGAGAATTGAGCCTTTGCCTGTACTTACATATTTTTTCTTCCAATAAAAATATAAAATATTCGTTAAATTGGTGTAATATGAAATCCTTGCATATTATACAGGGTGTCCCAATGAAAAGTACCCCATTTATAGAGCTTATAACTTTTAAACACCTAATCGTAGAAACGTGCGGTTTTTGCTGGTATGTTATTTTGCTATAACTTCTGCTTCTGTGACACAGAAATTATGTATTACATATACAGGGTGTTTTTTAAAAATGTCCTCTTTTAAATTCACCGTAAACAAATTTTATCAAATGGAACACCCTCTATATGTTTTTGTCATCTGAAAGATACACACTTCTTCTTTTCAAAAATGTATAATTTGTACATTGTATTTTACAAAATAAATTTGATACGGTGAATTAAAAGAGGAGATTTTTAAAAAACACCCTGTAGTAATACATAATTTCTGTGTCACTAAACCAAAACTTATAGCAAAATAAGATATATTAGCGGAAACCGTACGTTTCTACGATTAGGCACTTAAAAGTTATAAGCTCTAAAAACGGGCTACTTTTCATTGAGACACCCTGTATATGTTGATCTTAGTATTACAGAAATGATTTTCGTAAGACAATAAGGTATACAAATACGTAAAATTTATTTATCCCTCGTAAAACATCAGTAAAATATATTGTAAATTGTTTTCATTAACAAATATTAATTTTTTAAAAATTTAACAGACGCCCCACTTTCCAGACGAAAAATCTTGCAATGTAAGGGTTTCGTAGTACCCCACTTTTAAATTTTAGCTTCAATTCTCACTATATCGAAATATCGCATTATACAATTAATTCGAGATATCCTGGTACCAAACTCTTATTAGATATCCTAAAACTAAACGAAATGACAATTATAAGTTAAAAGTTGAAAAATATAAAGACGATTTAAAGAAATTATTCGATATTGCTGCATGTAAAGGTGCTTCTTCTTCTTCTTCTTCTTCTTTTGTGGTCGTGTTAAAAATGCAAAATACCAAATACAAAGCAAGAATTTATTCACGATCAACGAACTGTGAGAAAATTTGTTTTTGGGAAAAAAAAGACGTTACTGAAACAAATAATTTAAAAGCCAAAGAAGAAAGAAAAATTAAGATCAAGGCGTATGCAAATCAGCTTCATTTTAAGTTTGAAGTAGACAATGATAACATTGAAAACTTTGAGCGAGATAGTATTTCTTATTCATCTGAGACTGAGATGTCAGCAGAGCTTGAGAATTTGACAGAAAAACAAGAAGCTAATTCGAAGCTTCCATCAACATCAGGTTGCAGTACAAGCCAGCAAGTGAGATTGCCTATTTCCAACCTAGCTCGTATTTGTGACCAATTTGCCATTTCGGACCGTTCTACAGCAGCGCTTGCATCTGCTGTATTACAGAATTTGGGACTTCTTTCGAAAGAAAGATCGTCATCAGTTATTAACCGAAGTAAGGTCTGAAGAGCTCGTTAAAAACACCGTTTTAATTTAAAAAGCGAATTCCAAACATCCACTCCGGAGATTAGAGCATTATACTTCGATGGAAGTAAGGATAAAACGATGTGCCAGGAAGAAGTTAAAAACAAATTTCATCGCAAAATTAAAATCGAAGAACATATACCATTGTTCGAAGAACCATGTTCAAAATATATGGTTCACATTACACCTACAACAGGTTTTGGGAAACATATTGCCATATTAATTTTCTACACGAATTTGACATCAGTACAAATGGGCTCTTAGTAATAGGCTGCGATGGTACAGCGGTTAATACAGGAAGAAAGAATGAAGTTTTGCGGCATTTAGAAACTGAAACGTCCTCTTCAGCGGATGATATGTCAGCTACATATGAATTAACTGCCTCTTCGTCATAATTTTTTAATATCTTCACGGATAAACTTCAGGACCTCGTGTAAACTATGGAGCTATAGAAAAAATGTTGGAGTCTTGCGAAAAATTGCCCATTGTAAATTTTGTTCTTATTGTTAGCCCTTTACCAGAATTAGACGCTGCAGCTATTAGGAATTTTAGCACTGATCAAAAGTACTTGTATGAAATGTGTCACCCAATTTCTATACGAAACTGTTTATTAGATCTAGCAGCTCGTAATCCAGGTAAATTATCACAGGCTACAAAGGCAAACCGTATATTTCGTCTTTACATCGGAAATAAATGTCCGTCTACAAATTTAAGAACAATCGCTAAATTTGTGGTAAAACTTTATGCGCCAGTGTGGTTTGACATTAAAAGAAACCCATTGTGTAGTGATGGAGAAAGACACGTCTTCAGAATAATACAGTTGTCGCGCTACTTGAACAACGAATTGAAGGCAGTCATCGATTCTGAAATGCTTATTTTTGTCATCCGGAGAACCTTCTACTAGCAATGCTTTCTTATGATCGTCCTGCTTTGAGACAACTTGGCTTACGAATAATATTGAAGGCACGCACAAAAATATCTATAGACATAAGGGAATTTGTTATTCCTAAATTAGATTACGATGCCAGCGAATATTATAAGCTTATTGATTGACAAAATTGCTCAGTTAGAGCACCACCTCTTATAAGTACTGCAACTGATGGGGATATCAGAGAATTTATAAACGATACAGAAACGTGTCCTGTTGATTTTTTGTCCTTTTCCTGCTATACACAGGCAGTAAAGAGGTGCGTGAAGGTTGTAACAGAAGCTTCCAATTCTGCTGTCGGCCATGACTCTAGAGATGGATTTATTTGAGAGAGGGATTCATTCTAGAACCAAACTACATCGATTTAACACTAAGGCGGAATACAATGCATGAATTTCATATACCTACCTATTTTTTTGTTTGCTCGTCTATGTTATATTGTTAAATTGTACTCCCTTTTGTTTATAAACAAAACATATTTAAATTGTTCATTTTCATTTCCATTAAAGTATTTGCAAAAGTAATACTATTTCATTTATTACTCTGTTTTATTGAATTATTTGTGAAAATAGGAAAATTTAAGTAGGTGTAGAGCTCTAAAGATGACATTTTAAAAATAAAATAAAAATAGCCCGTTAATCATTCTTAAATTTAACTTTTTTCCGCACTGTTACGTTTCGAAAATAAAATAAAAGAATATTTTTTCCGTTTCATTCCATCCTAGTAAGCATATTGTGAAGTTGTATTTTATGGTTGGAGATTATTATGTTCAACAATATTATGAATAATAACCTAATTATTTAATACTGCTGAAATCACTAGCTACTTATCCACTACTTAGAACAAGTGTTTTTGTCTTAAAGCTACTCCCAAATAGGTAAGTATCATAAAGCACCGATTTATTTAACGGTTATAGCGATTTAAACGCTACACATTTTGAATTTTACAAATCACAAGTATAAATAAAATAATCAACCACTTCCCATAACATAAATATCGATTTACGTCCCTACAAAAACTCATTTTAAATGTAAAATAACATTTATATTTTTCTAAAATTACAAAAATAAATTATCCTAAACCGCCTCCGGCTAAAGAAGCAATAGCTGCTGAAGGAATGCCTAACTGTCCTACTCTTCCTACACTGGCAGACCTTGGAATGTGGTCTCCTGCTGGTCTGAATCCATCTTTGTCTGCCACATACTCTACATAGTAGAATTTTCCGTCTGGACCAGGGTATGCGTAATGACCGTAAACTCTGGAAGATTCATCATCTGTGCCTTGGTTTTCGACTTCGCCTGTCTGATCGTTGTAGATGCCGTCGCTTTGGTTGACACTAAAAAAATAATAAATTGTATTACGGGTCTCTTAATAATTCTGAATAATGTTACCACCTCGTCTAGAATAACTCATTTATTAGATTGTGAGAAAATTGAAAAATATGAAACCTCAAATTATGCACCTCTATGTAAGTTTAACCTTACGACACATTTTTTTTGTTAGGGATTTATTGCACTGTGGTCTATTATGTTCCTTTCTGTTGCTAATGCAGCAATTTTTATAAATACCCTTCCAATTCGATCTTCTCAATAATGTGTAGAATTTGGAGTGGCTTTAAATTATGTAGAATGCCCGTTTTTATTTTGTTTACTCCTTAGTATAGTGTCTTCGGATTCAAGAGTGCTACGTATTTAAATTAAGGCTCTTCAAACCGTCAAAAATGTCAAAAATTTCAAAAAGAACATTTAACAGCAAGAAAAGATTGTGAAATTGCACCAATCTATACTATATCCATACATCACAAAAACAGTTGAACGCTCAGAAATACTATTAAAATGGCACCTAAAAGTAGGCAATAAGAACGCACAAGAAACATTAAATAATTATAAATTTCCAAATCAATAATAATATGCATAAATGTAATAAATAACAATATTAATTTAATCTCGGCAAAAGCAAGCCCTCCCATTGGTCGGCAGAAGAGTCTAAGCAGCATAATACGGGTTTAGGACATCTGGACGTCGCCGTTTCGGCGTGGCCATTTCGACGTGGCCATTTCGGCGTGGCCATTTCGGCGTGGCCATTTCGGCGTGGCCATTTAGACGTCAGACCATTTCGCCGTTGGCCGTTTTGGCGTCGGCCGTTTCGGTGTCGGGAATACTATTTTTTAGTATGTTTGTTAAAACCACTGTAAGTTTTAGTATGAAATATGTAAAGTATTGAAATAAGTGAGGTATTACATAGGAATGGGATAAATCTGTTTCTCAAGTACCTATCAGAATTATAATAGTAGTGTAATTAACATTTTATATGAACATTAGTATAATAATAGTGAAGTAAAGAAATTGTTCCAAATTTGCAACCCAGAGTAGAATGGTGATATCTTTGGCATTTGTTCCTATCGATCATTTAGATCATGCCTTTGATGTTCTAGCGGAAGACCTACCTGGCGAACATCAGCCACTATTGGACTGCTAGAAGATATTGGACGCCTTAGTAGGTATTTATTTCACTGTTTTTAACTAAATTCGTGTATTTTTATATTAAATAATACTATTTTTATTAACAGCTTTATCTGTTTTTTGCACAAGAACCTTTACCAAAGCACTTGGGATTAGACAGACCGGACCAATAACCATGCAGAGGCAGCACATAGAAGACTGCAGTTTGAATTGGGAGCAGATCATCCAACTATTTGGAAATGGCTTGCGTCAGGTGCAGAAAGGTCGAGATTTATATTTCGAGCAACTTGTGGCGGGCAATGCAAATCTCTCACCATTGAAGTTAAAAAAATACAGGGATGCAGACGAACGTATTTAAAATTTATAAAAATTATATTGTTAAGTTTGCCAACACTTCCAACGCCGAAATGGCCGACGTCCAAACGGCCACGCCAAAATGGCCACTTCGAAATGGTCACGCCGAAACGTCGCATTTCCATACAAGAGATACATGCGCATATACGCGCCAAACGGGCATTGAGTCTCTAATGCTTACAGATACAAATCGTCCGATGCTCGCTCTTAAACAAAAGCTAAAGAGTTAATAATTAATGTATCAGGGGAGACACCCCCTCAGTCAGTAAAATATGTAGTGTGTGATAAACAATAACATTAGTTATCGATTCGCGAATGTGAATATGTACCTAACGTGAATTCTCTGACAACGTAGCTGGCCTCTCCGCATTGCCAACGCAAAACAGTAAAGTAGGTTCGCTGCTTGTGCCCTAATTGTACAAGAAAAGAAGCTCAGTTTCCACAAGAGTGCAGCAACAGCTATTTCCAGATGCTCTCTACGTAGAGCTATCGAGGTAAGATGTAAGCGGCAGTCTGGTCTGGTAGAAGTCCATTTTATCAACATCCAATCTAGACTTGCTATTACACTACGCGTTCAGTCAGAATGTGAATAGAGGTTCAGTCCTTCTCCTTTTAGAAGCTGCAAGCACTATCTTCTACTATTCTTCTTTAACTAAGGTAACCTTTAGTTTGGTAAGGATCCGTGTTACAATGCGAGGCCTATTTTTGCTCAGGCAGATACAGACTTCCGATCTTTTGTGATTATATTCACCTGGAAGTATCTTGTCCTGTCTTAGATAATGTTTCAATTATTGGTTCTTCTGCTGCCCAATTCCTTTTTAATTTCTCCTAATATTGTGTTAAGGATATCGCTGAATGGCTCATGTCCCTCAAAGGGTGTTTGAGCCTCATTCCTTGAAAAACTCTCTGAAATATCATTATTATTTACCCCCTTATTCCTCGAAAGCCAAGTGAGAGTAAGTGTATTAAGTTGGCTGCCATATCCATCAACGAGGATGTTCACTCAGGGTTCATAATGATGTCGTGAGCATCACCCATATTGCACGCTGGTGATCTCTTTTAATAAACACAATAACCGAGGCCTGCAACTCATGACTCTCAAATAATATTTGGCCTGTAAAGAGTAAACAGATTATAAATTGCTACATAAATCAACCAGATAGCGACATCTGTTACGGAGCATTACAAGTTTGAATATATAAATGCAGTTGCCTCTGGAGGTAAATCTTGAAATCTTTTTGGTTTATGAAAGTATAAACGTGCAATAAGTTCTTACTCTTCGTTTTTGTTTTATACCGTTGACATTGAATAAAAATCTGAACGATCAACCAGCAAAATTATATAAAAGAAAGCAAAGTAATAATAAACCGCTGGCAAAAAATTAACTTGAGAAGAAGGTTATAAAGTATATAGAGGGAGACATCGATTATTTGAACGATTCAGATTTGAAGGGGATGGTCGCAGTGAAGAATCGAGCATTGGTGAAGACGATTTGAGTAAAGTGGAAGAACATAACACCGTAATGGAAGCCATACACGACAATTCTATATTTTCTGAGGGAAATAACGATTGGTTTAAAGTCGATTGCTGGCATATTAGATGGGATATTATTTTTGCCGAGGTTTCTGATTATAATGATACTTGAATTACTAGTTGGTGAAACTGTAGTTTATTTGAAAATGAATGGTAGCAAAATTATATAAAAATATAGACCTTTACCATGAAAACTGTGCTATCATGCATTTTTAAATAAACTATAATCGAAATGCAGAGCAACAAAAAACAAGATTTTTACTCGATATGCTACGATGCAACAATGGAAATCAAGAAGAGATGCGAAAGATTTTAGTAAATATTTTTTAATATGGGACTGGTAAAGTACCCAAAAATTGCCGATTACTAAAATAAATTCATTTTATATAAAAACGCATTTGTTCCTAATTTTAGGAAAAGGAATATGTTTCAATTATTATTGCGATATAACCACTTTTCTAATAATGAAATAGGACAGCCAAATGATTGTTTACATAAAATTACAGTCACTTTAAAAATGATGGGATCAAGATTTGTCGATAAATGCATTCCAGGTGAAGTTTTAGTTATGCATCAATCATTGATTCCCTTTCGTGGACGCCTACTGTTCTATCCCAAGCAAAAAAACATAAATATGGGTTGAAAATGTTCAAACTGTGTGATGCTACACTCTAAGATGGTATTATGGGTTAGCTCTTACGTAATCAGCTCAAAAATGGTCTGGAGATGTCTAGAAAAATTGAATGAACTAGGCGAAAAAAATTCAGTTACTCTCACTTGGTTCCCGGGGTACACGGTAACGAGATTGCAGATAGTTTAGCAGGGAAAGGGGCTTAAACACATTTTATGGTCGTTCTGCGGTATCAGTAGTAACATAATATTAGGAGAAATTCAAAAAGAATTGGGCAGTAAAAGAAAAGATTGGAAGCCTGCATCTGCCTGAGCAAGAACAGGCTATGTATTGTAACAGGGATCCTTACTAGGCATTGCCGACTAAAATGACACCTTAGTAAACTGAGAATAGTAGAAGATAGTGAGTGAAGATTCTGTAAAGGGAAGGACAAAACCTCCATTTACATTCTGACTGAATGTGTAGCACTATAGAATTTAAGGGGTCTGTACCTAGGAGTATATCAAATAGAAGGGAGAGATTTACTTAACTTAAAGCCACTCAAAATCCTACACATCCTTAAACAACTTTGCAAATAATAAAATTCAGAGAACAATTGATTCTTGGATTGGTAGGAGTTCCTAGTCGGATCCAAAATACAATGGATATCGAGCTGGTAGAGGAAAAGAATAAGATTCGTGATATAGTACAGAAAATAACAAAATTATTTTGTATAAAGTGCGATAAATGTGCAAAATTTTTATGTTTGAGTTGTTTAGAGGTATTTCTATTTTTATTTGCCGATATCACCGGTGATTCTTATGCCTTTTTGAGAATGTTGTTTTACCTAGGTGCTAATAATACCACTGTAATCTCAATTTAACAAAAAAATGATTTCGTTCCTTGTTGACCCTGAGTATAATAAAAATCAGGTTTCCATACATTTATTTATTTATTTATTTTTATACACATGGGGGATGACATTTTCTTATGTAGGCAATCAACGCTTAGCTTGTTCAGGTTTTCTAGGCATCTCCAAAATATTTTTGAGCTGATTACGTAAGAAGTCAGCTCTTTGATGACTGCTTGGCTATCAAACATAAGATTATCATCGTTTGTCTCCGCTATTTTCTCTCAATGTTTAACTGGATCCACTTTTAAATGACGTGAATATCCGCCTGGAAGATGCTTGGATATTTACTGAAACTTTCAGAGTACCTAGTTCTAGGCCTATACACATATATTCAAGTTCTTTATAAAATTAGAGTCATCCATATACCACTGGATTTCATGCTTTTAGTTGCAAGCAAGATGAATTTGTGGCTACATTCGTTCTTGTAGCCTGGTTCCGTGGTTTTGAAGTTTTTTAGAAAACTTTATTTCATTTTTATTTCATCCTGGGGCAATTTTCCAAGTATCTTTGGTCCTGAAGCTTATAAACTGTCGTCTAATTACTCCGTACCTGATTATTTTATATCTTGTTCTTATGCCACGTTCTCTATCATTAATTATACGAGAGGAGGTTTAAGATCATCTCCATTGTAACCGTAGGAGAGATTCTCATTACGGGTGATACAAACATAGGCTAGTCTTTGTACTTTTAAATTACTAGCTCTTGTAGGAATTGTGTTCAACTTTACATACACATCTTTTACTCACAAATTTCCTGCATATTATCAAATATTTTTACTTCCTTTTTGTGTATATTCAATAGAAGTTTGTTATCCAAAGTTAAGCCTAGATATTTGACTTCTTTTTTCGTTTTATATTTATCTGGGCTAAGTTGACGGCTTTGAGATTTAGTGTTTTTTTACTAGTGTTTATTTGGTTGAACTGGCGTAACCCAGTCCTATTAAACCATTCTCCATATATTTTACTGATGCTTGTATTAATCAACGACATCCAATGTAAAGGTATTTTATTTTTATTTTATTGAAGTAACTGTTAATAAATAATTTAAAATTATTATATTTCATCCTAGCAACTATCATCATTGCTAGATTTAGAAGGATGTCATTCTAGGCACTCCTTAAATTTGTATGTGAAGGGTACCAAGTGTGGGAACCCAATTAATACAAGACAAACTTTTAAAGTTGGATCAACTTTTATCAGGTCTTACTTATTGACCTCTTTCCAAAGACAAAAATTTTCTAAAGATCAAGTTTCTACATCTACCCGAAGAGCAGTCATGTCGCCTTAACTATGGTCAGTATATGGTACCCAACTGTTCAGTGTACATTTCCTCAAGTTACTACCGTGAGAAAATATCTACACATGTGGTAGTTGGTGGACGAGGAGGAATAGGTATATCATACAGAAAATTTTACATTTTTGCCTTTAGAATTTTTTTTAAGCATACACTCTCTCAAAGTTAAAATCAAGACATATAAATACAAAGAAAATGGATTACGTTAGCCGTAGTACAAGAGTTTTAAGTCTTTAAAAAATAATAAATGATGAAATAGGGCAAAACAAAATTTATCTATTAGAATATACATAGAATAGAAAAGGGCAATCTTTTCCGAATGCTAGGAAATGAAGGACCTTAAGGAGTCTTCCAATAATTTCCGACAGAAAGAAAGCCATCAAACGACCAATGAAAATCAGCTTTCGTCAAGATATATCACGAAGAATATTACATCATACTTTATTAAGAATTGAGTTATTAAAACGTTATTTAAAAATCAATAACTTACTTGTAAACATAATTTCCAGATCCATCGTTGTCGTATTCATATTGAGTAATGTAAGCACTTCTTGAATCAGTATACTGTTGTTGACGCTCAAATCTTAATCCCTTGTTGTTGTTTTCGTTATTCTGACTATTTTCATTGTCGTACAAGTTGGATCCACTGTTAAACTGATTTGAGTCAAACTGATTATTTGATGGTCTAGGACTTAAAGCAGCTCGTTGTGGCCTGGCCGATGTCAGACCAAGCACAAGACATCCACATATTATCTGTAAAAATAAGTAAGGTTAGACATACATAACTTACAATTCAACTAGCAAAGTAGTTGTATAATTCTCTGTTATATTTTGTTATTATGTGTTTTATTAAAATTGCAGAAAGCACTATTTAAATTCTCTGAAACTAAATTATTATTGTAAATTAGTATATGTAATATCTTCAATTATTTACTAATTATTTAATATTTTTAGTTATTTTTTTATCGGAGCGAATTTATAATGAGAAATAAAACAATAAAAGGTTGTATTATAACTGCCTGTATATCGATATATTCCACAAGAAGGTAAAGTCAATATTAATACAAAAAACGGCTATCGCCAAACATTGATATTAATACAGGGTGATATGCATCACATATTAATTCCAATATATTACAGTATATAGAGTATCCTTACTGCACAATTATAAAACAGTTTCCACCTAGGGAAATTATAGAAATTTTATCGCTTTATACTATTTTATATTGTTTATATTGTTTCGCCTTTATAACTGTCTAGATTTACAGATACAATTGTTTCTTTTTAAGTGCTTTAAAAAACGGTTATAAAGATATTGTCGTGCTAGCCATTTTCAAATAGTCCAGTCATGCTCTATCCCTTAATTCCTAATCTGCTTTTTGCGGCTCCTTTTGTCGTTAAGGTGGTAGTTTAAAACGACCGCCTCAGAGATCAAGAGCCGTTACATATCTTATATTCGAACCCGTAATAACAGCGTTAAATAAAAAACGTTTTCAAAACTATTTTCCCTAATTTGGACTTAAGCTTCTGCTACTAACTGATAGCATTGGGTACACTCGACGTATATGTTGCAGAGATGCCGATCCATATTATAAATCCCGATATGTCTATTTTTTTTTTGTAGAAATAGTAATAATATTGGCACAAACATATTTTATTAAAATGAAATGCATTATTGTTTTGAATATAACGGAGTTTAGAAAGGAGAGGGGGTTAAGGCATAACATTAGCAGTATATATTAGGCCATTGCAAAGGAATGGTTTATTTTTAATTTACGACAAGCATTAGGTTTTACATGATAATATTAATAGATTTTAAGATATGGAGGATTTAATTAAATACTGCGTAGACCAGAAGTTTAGGCTGATAATAGGTTGGGGCAGTGAGGATAACAACGCTAGAGGTAAGTCACTTTATGATTATATAATTACCAAAAACTTTGTATTTTATATAAACGTACTACACAAACATTTTTAAACTCTAGCAGTCTCGATGTTAGACCACCGCTGGTTAATATTTAAAGTAAACTTGATGATGCCGACCTCCATGCTATCTCGGAACCTACGCCCAACTTCTACAAAATGCTCTAAGCGAGGTGGAGGCCGAAACACCAAACAATAACAATCTTTTGAAAAAGTACTCGAACACTATTCAAAAGGCAATAAACAATGCCTATAAGAAATCCTGTCCCCTGAGGCTGGTCCAACACGATCAGATGACTACCGCATGGTGGTGTCACAAGTTGGATCACCTCAGAAAGTTGGCTAGGAAATTCTTTAATAAGGCAAAAACCACCAAACTTAAAGAGGACAGGGATACTTACAAATCTCACCTCAGGAATAAAAAAAAAATCGTTAGACAAAACAAAGAGATGCATAGAGATTCTACTGCAAGGCGTAGACAGCGAGGCTCCAAAAAGCTTTCTTAAAAGATTCTAAGCGCAGCATTGAGGCGCTAATAAGAGGATGGCTGAAAACTGCCAACCTCAAAGATAGCATCAACACACTCTTCTGACTCGGTCATCACAAACGTGGCCGACTGGTCAGAGGAAGAATACAACCCATCTCTCTATGATTGCAAAACTGCCAAACACATTGTAGACGATGACAAAATTAGATGGGCAATAGCCAGCTTCTCTCCGTTTAAATCACCAGGACCTGACGGTGTCTATCTAGCCTTACTTTAGTGAGGTCTGAAAATGTTCACACCGCACCTGGTAGGTATATTCAGATCCTAGATGGCTCTGAGGAATATACCCAAAAATGGAAGGATAGATTATACTATCCCAAAAACCTACCGACCAATTAGTCTGACACCGTTTTCCATGAAGACATTGGAAAGGCTATGCGAAAGGTATATAAGGGATGCGGTGATTGAAACAACACCACAACATGCATACACCCCAGACAGATCTGCTGATTCAGCCATTAACCTAGTTGCTGGCCGGATGAGAGATCCCTGGACAATAAGAAGTCCACCTTGGGTGTTTTCGTAGACATAAAAGGTGCTTTTGCTAAAACCACCTTCCCCAAGACAATACACTTACAACCAATGTTCCACAGATGGTTAGTGGGTGAATACATAACAGGCTCTCAAAGCGAGCAGTAAATATAAGTGTAAAATATATGAACATAAGAGCTTGGTTGCGAGAGGATGTCTACAGGGAAGAATGCTATCACTTCTACTATGGAACTTGGTTCCCGACACCCTCATTAGCCGCCACAAAGATGACAATCACTACACAATAGCGTATGCAGGAATTTTGAGAACATACTCTGTGAAATAATGAAAGTAGCTCTCAAAATTATAGAGCAGTAGTGCAGGGACCATTCACTGTCTATCAAACCCAAGAACACAAAACTAAACTTTGCAACAGAGGTGAAGTACCGAGATCTTACCTTTGACAGCAAGTTTACATGGAACTCACACTTAGAAAACAGAGTCAAGAGAGCATACATCGCTTATTAATAATGACGTCGAACCATGGAGCGCACCTAGGGTTTCTCCCCCAGAGTAGTCGCATGGACTTACACGGTCATCATAAGACTTCTGCTTATATACAGCTATCTGCAAACTAGAACAAATTCAAAGAACAGTATGTCTCAACATAACAGGAGCCATGAAAACCACACAGACCAGAACCATGAAAGTCATTCTTAGTCCCACTTTCCTTGATATTTACATCAAGACGGTTGCTCTGATGACAATGAAACGTCTCAGCACGGTTGAAATAGAGGTTAAGGCGAGACCTCGCTTTTGCAGGAGGCGCTTGATACGCTTCCACTGCTTCAAACAAACATGAACTCCATCTCACCGATGGTGCCAGTGTAATTCAAACAGAGCTCACGGGGATTCTCATAGCAGCAACAGAAATCACCAAAAACAATACCACTGGAAGAAACATGCTTGTCTGTACAGATAGCAGGCAAGCACTACTCATACTAAACAGACCACGAATTTAATAAGCGTTAGTACTAGAATGTCATGAAGCTTTAGCCGAAGTATCCATCAACAATGTGGTCATCTTAAGATGGATCAAATGTCACGCCACATCGAAAGATAACCGTCTTGCTGATTTACTGGCCAAGAAAAAAGCCAAGAAAGCAGCCAAGAAAGCAGCCAAGAAAGCAGCCAAGAAAACAGCCAAGAAAGCAGCTAAGAAAGCAGCCAACTAAATACTTTTTGGTTCCTGGTCCTTCTATTGGCTTAACAAAATCGGTAGTGACATACCTAATAAAAGAACAGATCCTTGTGAAATTCAAGGAAAGATGGAATAAAACAAGAAACTGCAGAGTTACTAAGGAGCTTTTAGGTTATTTCGACAACACTGCAGCAAACAAATACTTGACTATGACTAGACAGAATCTGCGCTTGGTAACGGGCATTCTGACTAGTCGTTGCCATGTACGGAATCATCTTTACGTATTTTCAAATATATTTTGTAAACAACTCTCACGTTAAAAGTTTGTTTAGTGTCGGCTCTTGGCGCTTTTGACATTTTTTGCAGGTATTGTAACGCGAAGCGTCGTTTCTAATGTAACATTTTGAATTTATTGCGAAACCATTTCGTTTCTGTTCACCAGCAGTGTGTTCTATTAAATGCGCCGGTCAGGACAGATAATTCTTGAAAGGGACGTATCTCGAATATTGTCATACTTTACTTTATACCGTCATTTGGAAAAGCGACGTTGCCAAATTCACCATTTAGATAGTCAATATAGCAAAAGCTTTTAACAATCGTTTCTGCAACCGGCTGTTTGAATAAAAATACTGTCTGCTGCCTATTATTTTTATTAGGCTGAAAACGACATCATTCGTAATTTCTTGTGTATTTTTATTGTGCAAGATTCGGCTTATAAATAAGATTTAAGTTTTGTAAGAATCCTTTTTATGTAAGTAAAAACTATATGTCTTTACAACAAAACTGAGTTTAATTAAGTTTAATTCTACTGTTGCCCATATTTATTGCCCTTGTCCAAAATAGGAGCAGTTGAATGAACTAAAATATTAAAATTTAAAAAAATATCAAAATGTTTAATATGTGTAGTTACTTTTTTACTTACAACTGTGTAACTCTATCTGATCTGAAATGTTTTGCACTTTTATTCTTCATCTATGATAAAAAACTGAATTTATGTGATTCAGTATGCTTAAGTATGCCCATTATGTGGTAATGGCAACATAATATTTTGTTAATGAATAATTTTTATGTGTGAATTATTAAGTCAATGACTTATCAGTAAAGTTTCATTTATTTTTATAAAAGTACCTATTATAAAACACCCACGAGAAATTGGATAATTTAATTTGTTTATCTTCGAAATAAAATGATGAAACCGCAACGAATGGAAGACTGACTTTGAAAATATCGACTTGACACCGTTTCGAAAGATTTTTTAACCTTATACCTATGTTTTGAATATTTTTGTCACAAAAATTACTTTAACCGATAAAAATATAATCAATTTATCAAGATTAATTGATGTTCTGTATGAAATTTTACATAAATATAAGGACGAAGAAAGTGCTCGTTGCGAAAGAGTGCTTAACGCTGAGATTTTATGTTTTTAATATTGTTGTTTACAGAATTTAATTTAATACCTAAAACATTGAAAACAAGGAATGATCTAATATAATGTAAACATATGAAAATATTTGTGGAACAAGGTACAAAAAGGTTCGTTGATGACAAATTTATCAGTACAGACTTAAACAAAGGAAATTCGAAAATATATACATCATATCTATTCGC